AACATCGTTTACGTGCCTCCGGGCGTGACCCAGGAGGCCGAAGGGGCGTTTCGCGGTCCTGCACGGCGTCTTCAGCGGAGGCGTCGGCGGCGGGCGCCTATGAGAGCGCTGCGGCGGGCTCCGAGCAGGACGACGACGCCCACGAGTACGAAAAGGAGGCGGTGAATGAGCTGGACGACGTGATGAAGGTCGTGAGCCTCTCTGGCGGCGAGGAACCGAGCGCGGGGGCCGCGGAGCTGGGAGGCCACGGTCGCGGCCAACCAGCTGGCGCACGCGAGGGCGGCCGATCCGGCGGCATGCCGCCGCGCCCAGTGGCGGCTCGAGCACGACGAGCTGGAGGACGCAGCGGTCTTCGGTACCGCGGTGCTGGCGGCCCCACGGGTGGCCACCCCCCAGCGCGAGACGATGGTGGAGGCGGAGGTGCTGACGGGGCTGGCCGAGGACGAGAGCCAAGGAGGCGATGTGATCTACGCAGACGCCCCAGGCGGCCTCTGCGACCAGATCGTGCAGGCCTGCGACCCCCCCGAGCCTGGCTCCGAGGAGCACGAGACTGCGCTCGCGAGGGTGCTGGAGGGGTTCGGGCTCGCAGTCGACGGCTTCCGCTCCATGCTCACGTCGCCCGTGGGCAAGAAGCGGAAGAACAAGAAGAAGAGAAGGGGCCAGATAGCTTGGGGCTGAGTGGGCGGCGGCTACGCGTAGTTGCTGGGCTCGGCTCGAAAATCTGGTGTCCTTCTGGGGGCGGCCTGGGGGCAGCCTCGTTTCGGGCCGCGGGGTCCTGGGTGCGGCCCTGGGGGCTGCGTTCGATTGCCCGTGGGTCTCCGTCCCCGCGGGGGTGGTGGGGCCTTGGCCACGGTTCTCCCCCCCTGGGAGGTCCGTCGCCGGGGCGCACCTGTCTTGTGTGGCCCTCAGGCTCCTCGTCGCCACTCCCGCTTGCGAGCCGCAGCGTCGGCTGGTGGACTTTTGTCCGCCCAACCCCATGCCATACCATGCCTCCTCCTCCTACTCTTCGTCCTCCTCCTACTCTTCGTCCTCCTCCTCCTCCTCCTCCTCCTCCTCCTCCTCCTCCTCCTCCTCCTCCGTCTTGCCGAGCACCTTCTCCCCCTTAGCCGGACAAGCGTCCCCGGTGGCGGCACAGCTCGTTCTACGCAGGTTTTCACCCGCCCCATCCTTCGCTTGTTTTCGGCGCGCGGAGCGCAGAGGGGTTCGCAGAACCGCCGCCCCCCCCCCCCGCCCCCCAAGAGGTCGCAGGACCTTGTCGATGCCGATCTTGGTCATTCTAGGCCTCCCACATGGGATGCGAGCAAAAGGTGTCGTCGGATCGCGCCGCATCGGCGATGCATCGCTGATGCATCGCCGATGCGGCGCGATGTGGAGCCCGATTTTCTGAACGCCGACGTCGCCGACGCATCACCGACGTCGCCGATGCATCGCCATTGGGGAAGCGGGCCCTGGGGAAAATAGGTCCTGAGATTTTTCGCCGTTTGCAAACCTCGGGGCCCTCCGCGGCCCCCGGACTGTCATAAAACAGTTCAGGACGAGTAGTTCGTCTTGGGGGAAGGCCCCGGGGTCCAGGAACCGGTTCCTTCAGAACCCGTTTCCCCACGCTACGTAAGCCATGAGCAAGACGTCGCAGGATCTTGTCGATGCAGATTGTGGTCAGTGACGCAGTGACGCAGTGGGCCCCTGGGCCGCGGGGCGGGCCCCTGGTCCGCGGCCCAGCGGATTCGGTGCGTGCTCTTTGCGAATGCCCAGCGCGGAACGTAATTATCCGTGCGACCGCGTATCCGCGGGACCGCGCCCGGGAATCCAGGCCGCGAGGGCGCGGAGGCGGATGCGTTCGCCGCTCGTTGGGGTGGGTATCGGACACCCCTGCTGGGGTTCACCTGGCTGCAGGCACCCTCCGAGGCCCGAAAACCATAACTTCACTAATTTTGCGCCCCAGGGCCCACTGAGGCCCCAGGGGCCCCCGATTAGTGAAGTGATATTTTTTCCCACGTAAGGACCCCGAAATTCATAACTTCACTAAACCGAGCCCAGGACGAAAATCAGGGCCCGAATTGCTGCTGTGATGCCACATCGGCCTCGTATCCTTCGAATTCTGAACCGCAGCCCGTTTTTTTAGAAGGCTGACCTGCAGAGCCAGGGTCCGCACGCCGTTACCTGAGGGCCCATTTCGATCCGATCGATCCGATTTGATATGGATTCCGGTCATCTCGTTCCGATGCGATTCCGATGTTTTGGCGATCCGATGCGGCCCGATGTTCGCACGGCGTTGCTGTGCATTGTGGCGCAACCGACTCGATCTGATTCCGATTTTGTGCAGACGCGACCCGGTACGACGCACATTACGATTCGATTCGATTGTCTGGTTCGATGTTGATTGATCCCTGATCTTGGGAGGCGCCGTCGCCGGCTGGCGGGCGGTCAGCTCGCCAGAGCTACAGCTCCGGCGGTTCAAGGATGGGGCTTGCAGGAGGTTCGAGGTTTCGAGGCTCGAGCTTCGACTTTTTTGTTCCTTTCTTTTGGACCTCCAGGGAGGTCGTCGCCACGGCTGGATTCGCCTCGAAATGCTGTCCAGAACGCGCCCTGGGACAGCTCTGGGGATCTAGTGTCGCCTGGTCCCTGAGGCCTCAGATTTCCGACGATTGTTTATGGTAACGGTCGTTATTTGGGGGGCAGGGGCCGGGCTTTCGTAACGCTTAGGTGGGGTGGAGCTCGTCTGGGCGGCACTGCGATTACGATCGCAAGCGTGACCGGGGGGGAGGAAGGGTTGGCGGGGGGCTGGCGCGGTTAGGTAACGACTGCTACGCGCCAAAGGATGCAGCAACAATCCCTGGGCCGCACTCCCCTGACCTCTGACCTTCCAGAGTGCTTCAAAAGTGGCCCTCGAGACCTCTAGACCTCTCTGGACTGCTTCAAACCGTGGCTGGACATAAGATGCTGAGATCCTGGTGCTATTTGTTTGCCCTCAGCGCTTAGTAGGCCCCAGCAGCGGCAGGGCCTTTTTTTGGTTGTTGTTGTTGTTGAACATTATTAATTCTAAAGAATAATTATTGTTGGGACCCCTGGTGCACGGCCCCCCTGCGCCGCCTAGGCCGCAGCTACATTTTCATCATTTTCGTGAGGAAGCCTCAGGTAATACGATGTGATCAAGATCCGGTTGTTTTGTTGTAATCCGTTTTCCCTTGCAAAAAACACTATAAAATGACATTTCTTGTTCTAATATAATCAAATTTCAAGAATCCCTTGCAAAAAATAAGGTAAAGTGGACATTCGCGCGCGCAAGACGAAATCCTTCCAAAAGCTTAGTGTTCGGAGCGATTTTAACATAAAAACATCAAAAAACCAATGGTTTTTCAACAAAAAAATGTCAAAATCTCATCCCGCGCGCTCTTGCGGATTCGTAGGAAACCCAACACTTTTTAAACATTTCTGTCAAACGGGCTTTTGCGAGCAACTTTTTCGAACTTCTGCGACAACGGTTGCGCACCTGCCAGGGCCATCATCCCTGTCAAATAATACCATGCGGGACACATTCGTTTTTTCTTCGCGCGCGCACGCCGAAATCTTCAAAAACCATTGGGTTTCTTAGGAATTTTAGCACCGCGCAACATAAAATCATACGAATCGCACCGTAGGTCCTCGAAAAACATCTGTACGAATTTTCAAAATTTCTACCCGCGCGCGCTGTCCGAATCCTAAAAAACCAATGGTTTTCAACATTTATGTTACATGAGCTCGCGCGAGCTACTTTCGCAAGCTCTTTCAACGGCGTTCGCGCGCCTGCCAGTGTAGTAGCCACGGTCGTCCGCAGGCCACGAAGTGAAGTGTCCGAACGTCATAGGGCGGGAAGCTGGGTGTGGGTGGTGGCGAAGAGTCGTTTGGAAATTGGTAGAGCTTGAACCGGCCCCCCCACAAAGTGGGGGTATTGCCCGCCTCCTATGAAAACCCTGGCACTGGTGAGAACGGAGTGTCCCCACGTGCTAGTAATTGTTGTTGTTGTTGTTGTTGTTGTTGAACATTATTATTCTAAAGAATAATTATTGTTGGGCCCCCTGGTGCACGCCCCCCCTGCGCCGCCTAGGCCGCAGCTACATTTTCATCATTTTCGTGAGGAAGCCTCAGGTAAAAGATGTGTACAAGATCCGGTTGTTTTGTTGTAATCCGCTTTCCCTTGCAAAAAACACTATAAAATGACATTTCTTGTTCTAATATAATCAAATTTCAAGAATCCCTTGCAAAAAATAAGGTAAAGTGGACATTCGCGCGCGCAAGACGAAATCCTTCCAAAAGCTTAGTGTTCGGAGCGATTTTAACATAAAAACATCAAAAAACCAATGGTTTTTCAACAAAAAAATGTCAAAATCTCATCCCGCGCGCTCTTGCGGATTCGTAGGAAACCCAACACTTTTTAAACATTTCTGTCAAACGGGCTTTTGCGAGCAACTTTTTCGAACTTCTGCAACAACGGTTGCGCACCTGCCAGGGCCATCATCCCTGTCAAATAATACCATGCGGGACACATTCGTTTTTTCTTCGCGCGCGCACGCCGTCGTCGTCGGCCGCGGGGCCCTGAATAGTAGCCACGGTCGTCCGCATGCCACGAAGTGAAGTGTCCGAACGTCATAGGGCGGGAAGCTGGGTGTGGGTGGTGGCGAAGAGTCGTGTGGATATTTGGTAGAGCTTGCACTGCCCCCCCACAAAGTGGGGGTATTGGCTGGCGTCGCATGAAAACCCTGGCACTGGTGAGAACACTGAGCGTTCGGGTAAAGTGATTGTTGTTGTTGTTGTTGTTGTTGTTGTTGTTATTGTTGTTGTTGTTTTCATTTTTTCGGAAAAGTGTGTCTTTAAAGAGGAAGCTGTGAAGCAAAGTTGCGACCAGAAGCGGAAAACGAAAACGGCTCCAGGATTAGAGCCAGAGCCGGAGCGGGAAAAACAATTGCGATGGAACCGGCAACAAAAACGGCGACGGGGTGGCGAGATAACGGCGAACCGGAACCGGAACACTGGCCTTGTCGTTTCCCAGAGATCCGATGCCGTCATTTTTTCAATTCGGGGTCCCCGGAAGTCTCGACCCATTTCTGGGGGCCGTTTTCTCATCTCGAGTCGTTGTTTGACGGTCCTGAGGCCCAGCGAGGGCCCCCAGAAGCCAAAAGTTGCGAAGAAGCTCAGTCTTGATCTTTTCGATGCGTTGGATCTCTGCCCTTTTTTTTGGACCTCCAGGGAGGTCGTCGCCACGGCTGGATTCGCCTCGAAATGCTGTCCAGAACGCGCCCTGGAACAGCTCTGGGGATCTAGTGTCGCCTGGTCCCTGAGGCCTCAGATTTCCGACGATTGTTTATGGTAACGGTCGTTATTTGGGGGGCAGGGGCCGGGCTTTCGTAACGCTTAGGTGGGGTGGAGCTCGTCTGGGCGGCACTGGATCTTTTCAATGCGTTGGATCTCTGGGTTCCAGGGCCCACGATCGGGATCCCGCACAGGGTGTGTGTACCCAGGGGCGGGGTGTTGGGAGTTCGATGGGCTTCTGCACCGAGCCGCCCAGAAACAGATGCCCCCAGCCGCCGGCAGCTCCCAATTGTTTAAAGTCGGGCCTGTCCCCCTACAGGGGGATTTTCGACGAAAAATAAAACATACCCCGCAAATGCTCAAAAAATGATCCGAAAATAGTCTGGGGACTATTTTTTGAGTAGCTTTTGACCTTATTGGGGTCTTTTTGGGGGAATGTTTATTTTTCGTCGAAAATCCCCCTGTAGGGGGACAGGCCCGACTCAACAATAGTTCGGGGGTGGACAGACCTCCTACCCTGACACGTCGATTAGCGAATTGGCCGTTTTCGGTTCGCGAGAGGGCGTCGCGGCCGTCATTTTTGCGGGTCCAGGTCCGTCGGTTTCGGTCCCAGGCCTTTTTCACTAAAGGGTGGTTTACTAAAGGGAGGTTTGTCCACCGCCGAATAGTTGCCGACAGGTGGGTGGGGCATGCGGGGGGCACCTGTTTGCGGCAGTTCGGTGCACCAGCGGATCGAACTCATTTGGTAGCGAGTCATGGAAGCCTGGTATACTTTCTTAATTCCGTCATCAGCGTCGACCAGCGTCGATTAGCGTCTGGGAGTCGATGAGATGTGCCGATTTTGCGTCGGCTAGAGTCGATTAGCGTCGATTCAGCGTCGACTTGGCGTCGACTGGCGTCGACCAGCCTCGCTGAGCGTCGGTTCGTGAGAGCCGACAAGATGGCACGGGAGGCTCCCACGAGGTGCCACCGAAAACTCCTGCCCCCCCCAGGGAAGCCCCACCCCCCCCCCAGGGTCCCCCACTCCTCCTGGCTGGCTCCCGACGCGAAGCCCCGGGGCCCCATCCCTGGAGCGCCGGCCAGCGCGCGCCGCGCCGCGCCGCGCCGGCGGGGCCGGCGGGGCCGGGCGCGCGCCCGGCGGTGCTGCTGGTGGGCGACGCACTGGCGGAGCGCTCCTTCTTGCCAGCCTCGAACGTATCCCTATCCCTAAGATTGGCACGCCAGAAGGCGATGACGATCTTAGGGATGCGCCCTCAAGAAATAAGGGGATCCCTCAGATTGGCATCGTGATGAGGAGGTGCCCAGCATAGGGATAGGGATATGTTCCAGGCTGGTAACCTTCGAGCAGGGCGGCTGGGGCGCGGGCCTGTACGACTGGCTCCACAGGTCGCGGGGGGGGGGGGAGTGGGCCCTGATGGGGGAGCCGGGCCCCCAGACCCCCTCGCGCGGTGGCAAAGGTCGCGACGGGAGGGTTGTCGCTAGCATCTCGGTATCGTTGAACCGATCCCCATCCCCATCCCCATCCCTTTCGAGAATTCCACCAAATTGCCACCCCAGTTGGGGATACACCCCTCGAAAGCCGAAGGGAGCGACCTATAACCACATCTTAGGAGTGTAAATCGGCCAGTGGGGCCCAGGCCACGCCGCTGGGGATGGGGATCGGTTAAACGATACTCATCTTCGGCCTCTGGGGGCTCTCGCGAAGCCCCGGGACCGTCAAAAAACGGCTCAGGATGAGGGCCGAGACTTCTGGGGACCCCGCGTGGGAAAAATCACGACATCGGATCTCGAGACCTGAGGGAAAACGGCGTTGTATTTTTTCCGAGCCTGGCGTTTTGGCAATCTTTGTCAGGACTCGGGACCCTCGCAGATCGATTTGGGTAGAAACATGTCACAGGAAGATGGTGTCCAGGGCTCCGGGCGTGATCTCGTGCGATGTTGCAATTTGTTGGCAACCCAGAGACCCATCGTGTTGAAAAAATCAAGACGGAGGTTTCGCAGTTTTCGGCCTTAGGGGCCCTCGCCGGGACGGACCGTCAAACAAACCACTCAGGATGAAACATTTGTCCTCGTGAATGGGTCGAGAATTTCAGCGACACCGTATCAAAAAAACACGACATCGGATCTCTGGGAACGTCGGATCTCCTGGTCTACGGGTCCCGGGACTGTCAGAGTACGACTCAGGGCCCAGGGTCCATGGCCCGCTTCCACAGGGCCCGTCTCTTTAGTGCTATCATCTGAAAACATGCATGCTCGAGTCACGAAAACCACGCGGCGGAAGGCGTTTGGTGGTGTCTGGCCTCTGTGGGCCTTCGCCAGGCTCCGGGGGCCGTCACAACCAGCTCGGGAGGGAAACCAGCCTTGGGGGTACGGCCAGGATGCTCGGGGACCGCACCTCGCCAGATGTGCACGATCTGCGCTGCCCCCATCTCCGCCGTGCCTCCCTGGAGCCCACGAAAGTGGCGACAGTTGCGCAGGCCGCATCCCCCCACGATCTTACCACCCTCGAACGTATCCCTATCCCTAAGATTGACACGCCAAAAGGCGATGTCAATCTTAGGGATGCGCCCTCAAAAAAAAAGGGAATCCCTAAGATTGGCATCGTGATGAGGAGATGCCCAGCATAGGGATAGGGATATGTTCCAGGCTGGTAACGATCCGCGTGGCCCCCAACTCCGCTGGACCTCCCAGGAGGCCACGAAAGTGGTGATAATTAGGTGTGCAGTTCGCAGCCGCCTGCGTAGGGAGCAGCGAGGTCTCGTCTGGGTGCTCGTTGGCCTCCCACTCCGCTGGACCTCCCAGGAGCCCAGGGAGCAGCGTGGCCCTCGACTCCGCTGGACCTCCCATGAGCCCACGAAGGCGACAGGTACACAGCTCGCAGCCACCGATGGAGCGGCGAGGTGTCGCCTGGGTGCGCGTGGCCCCCAACTCCGCTGGACCTCCCAGGAGCCCACGAAAGCCCAGGAGCACACGAAGGTGGTGACAACTGCGCACTGCGTAGCCACAGGTGGAGCCGCGAGGTCTCGTCTGGGTGCGCGTGGCCCTCGACTCCGCTGGACCTCCCAGGAGCCCACGAACTGCGACGGTTGCGCCGTTCGCAAAGCCCCAGGGAGCAGCGAGGTCTCGTCTGGGTGCGCGTGGCCCCCAACTCCGCTGGGCCTCCCTGGAGCCCACGAAAGTGGTGACGGTTGCGCAGCTCGCAGCCACCCAGGGAGCAGCGAGGTCTTGTGGCGACGGTTGCGCAGTTCGCAGCCACCCGGAGAGCAGCGAGGTCCAGCCTAGGCCCTCGTGCCCCCACTCCGCCGGGCCTCCCGGGATCCCACGAACGCGGCGACGGTGGCGCAGGTCGCAGCCACCCGGGGAGCACAGCCGGAGACGGCAAGAGGAGGAGGGAGGCGGATCCTGCGCCGGCAGGTGTCGTCACGGCTTGCGCGTCGATTTTTGACACTGCGGGGAGGCGGAAGGAGGATCCCTCGAGGAGGAGGAGGAGGAGGAGGAGGAGGAGGAGGAGGTGGAGCAGGAGGAGAAGTCGCGACCGCAGTTCTCTATCCAGAGCGAGATCCCACAACACACAGGAGGATTGGATCAAAAACGAAACATCGCGAATGTAGGTGTTTCTTCTTGGTTGGCCTCCCGGGGCCTGTAAGGGGCTCGGGACGACAATGCGGTTTATGGGGACCTGCCCCGGGGTCCAGGAGCCGTTTGTTCCCAGGTCCCGCTCCTTGACGCCTGCCGACATGGTTCCGCCGCGCCAAAAGAATACGCAGGCACCCTCCACTGGATTGTTCTGGTTGGCCCAAAAGGGGGTCCAGCTGAAAGGGGGTGGTGCAATAGTTCTGGTGCAATAGATTTGTGGGGTGGTAATAGGGTTGGGGCGTGCATTACATCCGGGGGCGCAAATGCATTGCTGGATTCTCGCGTGCAATCCATTAGCTGCAGTACAATGCAATACAATTCTCTGGCGCAGTACATTTGTTGCAACACTATTGCCCCACATCTATTGCACCACCCCCTTTCAGCTGGACCCCGTTCTGGGTCGACCAAAATGGTTCCTGGGCCTCAGGGGAGGGTGGCGGTGTCTAAATCACCATTGTGAGCCGGCGGCTTTCTACACCGGCGGCCCTCCCTGGAGGTATACATGCAAGATTCTCGTCGGATGGCGTCTGTGGCTATACATCTTCCTGGCGCAGTGATGGTCTCAATCCGCGGCCCCAGGGTGCTCGACCGCTTCCTCGGGGTCAGCCGCCCTCGCCCCCCGCACATCCGCGGTTGCTGGCCCCCGGGGGGGCCCGCGCCGCCCCGGCAGCCGAATGTCAGTTGCAGCAGCACGAAAGTCCGATGTGGCCCCCCAGAGTTAAGGAGGGGAGAAACACACACACACACAGACGCAAGCAATCGTCCACTCCCAGGAAAATATGGGAGAATGTGGGAAGTGGGGGGGAAGACAAAAACCAAGAAAAACATAGAAAGTATGGGGAATCCTTTTCTTTGTGTGTATTCATTTGTGTGTCCCAGGGCCCCTTCAAGTTCTCGGCCACTTCCTCGGGGTCAGTTGTTACAGTTGTTCGCCCCGCATCCGTTGTTGCTGGCCCCGGGGCCGACGACGAGCCCCAGCAGCCGAATGTGAGGATGGATCGCCGGATCGAGACGAGGGGATCGTCGCAGGTCAGGGGACCGCTGTTGTGAACCGGTGTTTTGCCGATCGGCACGGGCCCTCGCACCTCCCTTCCCCCCCCCCCCCTGGAGTACCTCTTGGCTGTTTTTGGCGCCTGATTCAGGCAGGCGGAGTCTCCCCCGCAGGACGCACTGCTGCAAACAGTGGCGTTAAGCGGAGGTCCGGAGTCAGACCCCACCCCTCACCCCCCCCTCTTTGCGCCCAATGTTCGGGGGTAGACAGAACCCCCAACAGTGACACGTCGATCAGTGAATTGTCCGTTTTCGGTTCTCGAGAGGGCGCCGTGGCCGCTATGTTCCAGGCTTGCGCCCGCCAGGTTTGGGCCGCAGGTCGTTTTCACTAAACCACGTTTTACTATCCATCCCCGATTCTTTCCGCCCAGCGTCGAAACGCCGAACAGGAAGACGCTCACCAGGGTTCCCTTGAGATCCGACGCTGCGAGGATCTGCAGCAGCACGAAAGATCGCGGCCGGAGCCCCAGGCCCCACCAGTCCGCGGCGAGGTGCGAGCCGGGCCGATCTGTGCTGCGCCAGGGGCCCGAACTGGGGCGAAGGCGCCCAGTGCGAGAGGATTGCAGCGCTCGGATCTGAGGGCCGTTGCCTCATGTGCTCGGTGGGCCATTTTCTATCCTGGTAAGGGTGGTCTTTCCTTGCACCTGACGCGGGCCCGACGTGGATTCGGCACGGTTCCGACGTGGATTCGAAGTCGATGCGATTCGGGTTCGACTAGTTCGACATGGATTCGGCGCGGACTCGACGCGGATCACGGTTGTTTCTTGCCAAATACAGGGCGGCGGACGTGGTCAACCGGGGGTTCTCGGGCTACCGCACGGGCTGGGTGAGGTCCGTTTTGCCCGGGGCGCTGGGCGCGGCCAGCAGGCCTATCTGCGAGGGAAGAACCACGGTGACCATGACCAAGAGGGCGCGTAGTCTTGTCGACGCTGGTCCTGGTCTTGGTCATGTCATGGGCCATGCCGGCCGTGATTTCGTTTTTGTCAAAGAGGTTTACGCCAGTCCGCCGACCTTCAAGGGAAAGATGTGACAGATCGGTTGGAAGGAAAGAAGTAGAGGCGAAGCACGTGGAGGGGAACAGGGCGAGAAGCAGGAGGGGGCCTCTCGGGTCGACGCCGATCTTGGTCATGGTCCATGCCGAGCGTAGCGGTACGGTCATGGGCAAGATCTTGGTCATGGTCATGGTCCATGATCTCTGGCGGGTAACAGCCGTTGCCAGGGCCAGACCCCAGGGGTACCGGTACCGATCGTACGTAAGGGCCTGGAGCCCCCACATGAGGGTGCTCGCGCGCATACTAAGGCGATCGCAGCTCACCCCCGCCCCGACGTGCCCCACCCCGCCCAAGCGTCACCGTCACTCGGGGCCCCAGCCCCCCTGGACGACGACCGTTTCTGGAAGCAATAAGCAAAGAATGTCCGTCGCCAATTCGCGAGGAGGACCCACGAATTGACGTTGACCAAGATGGACGATGGCCAAGATCGATACCGCCATTTCCACGTCTGGTCTTGGTCACGGTCATAGTTTTGTTTCCTCCGCATCCTGGCGGTGGTGCTGCTCTTCGGGGACTGCGAGCCAGAGGGCGCTGGCCAGCTCGACGGCGTGGAGCAGTACGCGGCAGACTTGGGGGCCATTTGGGGGCAACGTCAGGGGGGAGAGGCTCAGGACGGGGGGATGCATCGACCCCCAGACTCATCGAGAACAAAAGAGCCCCTCACCCTAATAACACAGTGAAGACGTGGCCTCACTGAGGCCCCCGTCATTGCATGGGGGATGATAAAACTCTGGGCGGTTTGGCTTGATGCGTCTGCAGAAAAAAAACCTCCTACCCCTCATGTTTTCGGCCTTCCTGACGTAGGTCCCCTCCCAAAGGGTCAGGGGTACCTTTTATATCAGGAGGGACAAAAAGCACACAGACACCATTAATTGTCGATTTCCTAGAACAGATGGCAAAATATGGGAAGTGGGGGGGGGAAAGACGAACATCCAAAAATATGGACAAATATGGGGAATATTGGGATTTGTGTGGATTTATTTGTGTCCCTGGGCCCCTTCATTATTGCTTATCGCAGACCCCCGCGCGCAGCGAAAGCATCACGACGGCAGGTTCTTCCACGTGTGCGGCCTCCCGGGGGGCCCTCGCCGGGCCCCGCAGGACGCTCGGCATGAAGAGCAGGCCTCGCGGGGAGAGTCGGGACTGCTGGGGCCCTGAGATCTGGGCGTGGCACTTTTTTTTGGCACACTGGGCGGGTTTTCACGGGTTCAGTTGTCAAGCCATGGGACAAGCACGGATCGACCCGGCTCGAGAAGCGCGGCTCGAGGAGCGCCGCAGAAAGATCGAGTTGGGTCTAGGGCTCCTGTGGTGATTTCTCGCGATGCTGCAATTGGTTCGTGACGTCGGATCTCGGGGCAGGCTGAGGGGGCAGCGCAGCGACGCCCAGTCGCCAATGGATCGCCGATAAAGGCCCGACGTACACCACATCGGGTGCTTCTTGCCGACCCGTCGGCGATGCATCGCCGATTCGAGCTCCCGCTCCTCCCCCCCTCGTGTTTGCCCTCAGCCATGATCTCGATGGTCCGGGCGGCCGCTCCAGAGGCGGCCGTCGTCGCCATCACTCCCCAGACGTCCGGCGTCGTGATTGGCTCGCAGCGTGGCTGCCCAGAGGTGATCTGGACCCCTTCCCGGGAGCCAGGCCTTCCTCCCGAGCCGTCTTACAGTCGCCCCGCATAGTACGGATGGGCAAGCTTCCCCAGCGTACCCTTGCATCCTTGCCTCCTCGGCCCATCCGTGGGCCACTTCCGTTGGCCGCGCCCCGCCGGAAAAGCCTGGAAGTGGGCGTCCCAGGCCGTTGCATCCTGATCGCGCACCCTTATCATACTCAAGCAGTGGCGAAGCGTCCTGGCTCGCCTATAAGCCCACCAGAGAATGTTCTAAGAACCTTGTGTGGTCTGCGCGACATGCTCTCAGAACATCTCTGGCTGAGACTGTCTCGTTGTCACACATCGGGTCTATGTTCTTAGAACAGCGTTTCTGTTCTTGGAGCAGTTTTGGATTCCAATCAAATTTCGTGGTAGGCCTATGGGATTGCCAGGACGGCCGGTTCCTGCTCAAGATGCGGCCCGACGGTATTGACGGCCCCAGGGGCCAGGGGGCGGGCCCCTGGGAGGCCGAGGGCAGCCTGAAGCTTGCGCGCCGAGGACCTTTGCCTCACGGCGCGAGGATGCCCGGCCTTCGGGTGAAGTCGGGCACGTTCTCCTTCAGGAGGAAGATTTAAATATAGTTCCACAAAGGAAGTCTGGGACCGATTTCCTAGCACTTTTGTTGGCTATTTTCGGTGACAGTTGTTGGCGATGCTACTTTTAGTTCTCCTCCATCAGAATCCGCCTGTGGGAGGGCATGCCCGACCTAGTTGACGTTTGGGCCACACCTCTTCGGGCCTCCGGCGCCCGATCGGGACGCTGCGGGCACCCCCCGAAGGCTAATTCTCTCGACGAGGCGCGGCTGCCGGAAGGCGTCCCCAGGCGAGAAAGGCCTCTCGGCCGACGACACCGCCCGAGAACCGCCGACGATTCGAGGGAGGACGGGTCGTCGGCGCGGGCCCTCGCCCCCCCCCCCTCCCCTCCCCCCTTCCCCCCGTGAAGTAAATCTTAGTTTTTTTTTGGCGCCTGTTTCGAGCGGGTGGAGTCTCCCCCATAAGGCCGCACTCTTGCGAACAGTCGCGCTAAGCAGAGGTCCCGAGCCAGACCCCTCCCCCTCCTGCCCCCCTGCCGCCCAAAGTCGAAACGCCGAATAAGGAAACGCCCACCAGCTGACGACCATGACCAAGAGATCGCGGGATCTTGTCGGCTTGCTTCCGCACGTCCGAAGAATGGCTCGGGGGTGGACAGACCTCCTACCCTGACACGTCGATTAAGGAATTGGCCGTTTTCGGTTCGCGAGAGGGCGTCGCGGCCGTCATTTTTGCGGGTCCAGGTCCGTCGATTTCGGCCCCAGGCCGTTTTCACTAAGGGGAGGTCTACTAAAGGGAGGTTTGTCCACCGCCGAACAAAGAGATCGCGGGATCTTGTCGGCTTGCGTCAGCACGCCCGAGGAATGGCACGCTCTGCCTTGCCTCCGGTCATCTCCGTTTTTTGCCTGGTCTGCGGTCGGCTCTCCGCCCAGGCCTCTGCTTCTTAGCCCGACCGCAGCTCGGATCCGAGACGCCGCCGGCCAAAAAACAGTTGTTTTTTTGTTGTCACGACGCTTCGGATGTTCCAACCTCAGGAGGGAAAGAAACACACAGACACAATTCATCGGCGATTCCCCGGAAAATATGGGAAGTGGGGGGGAGGACAAAAACACGTAAAATATGGGGAAAATATGGGGAATCTTTTTATTTGTGTGTATTTATTTGTGTGTCCTGGTGCCCCTTCACAACCTACTTTAGCCCTGATCACCAGGAAGGTTTTCGAGCACCAGGACCGAAACTGGATGCTTTTCACGCGTCGGGCCCTGGGAGGCGATTGCTCGTTCGACACCGCGCTAGCAGTTCGGGCAGGCACCGTTTCGATACTTCTCCTCCTGGGTGCTCGACATGATGGCTGGGAGGTGGTCCTTAAGTAGGATGGAAACATTCCAGAGATCCGTTGCTTTGATTTTTCCAATACGGGGCCCCTGGAAGTGGAAGCCTCGACCCACTCCCGAGCACCAGTTCTTCATCCTGAGCCGTTTTTCGACGGTCCTGGGGCCCGCCGAGGGCCCCCAGAGGCCAAAAATTTAGAGTCAAATCCGTTTCGATTCTTCCAGGACGTTGGATCGCTGGGAGCCCAACACGACGCGAGGATGTCAGGGTCCCCCTCCGCCGGACCCGGTTGGCGCGCCGGCCCGGGTCGTGGACCTGGCCAGGCGGCGCGCCGCGGCGGTGCGGGCCATGCCCGCCGACGCGGTGGTGGACCTGTGGGACGAGGCGCCCACCCCGCCGGAAGGGAAGTCGGCGCCAGCACGGAGTGTCGAGTGGGAGACCGGCCGCAGCACCGATGTGTCCCGAAGTCGATGTTTCGTCGACGGTCGGACCGAGGCACGAGATCGAGGTCGGCTCGGGGAGGGCATCCTGGTGTTCGTCGTGTTTTTGGCGTGCTCTTGCGCATCCTGGGGAGGGTACCCTTGGCTGTTCTGCTTGTTCTGGCCGACGGAGGGTCTCGCTTTCTTGAGGCATGTTCTTCTTGCCGAGGTCCAGCTGCCGGAGATCGACTACATAATCGATGTAACCTGAAATTGATGTTTCGTCTAATCGATGCAGAAGACGTAGAGCGCGCCGAAGATTGGCAGAACATTCTCGGTATTTTTCGCGGATTCGACGGGCAAGTCAATTCTGGGGTAAATCAATTGTGCAGTCGATCCTTTGGTCGAGATTTGAGTCAGGGGATGCCAAATTTCGAGGCCTCCCAAATTGAGTCCGAGTAGATGGGGCCGAAGGAGCGCGCCGCATCGCCAATGCATCGGCGATGCGGCTCGATGTGGGGCCCGAATTTCTCCAGGTCGACGTCGCCGATGCATCGACGATGAGTCGGCGGAAGTCACGGCGTGCCTCTAGGGAAGTTTGCACGCAGATTTTGCGATCAGTGGGTGTTAGGGATACTGCATCGACAAGGGTCGGCACCAATCGATGCAATGCTTCTAGGGACCATGCTGGAGTCCCGTGGGGGGTCGAACGGCCTCGGACCGCCGATCACTCGTATTTTCACGTGTCCCCATAGAGTGCGGAGCAGGGAATACGTGAGGGACGTGCCGAAATGACCGTGTCGTAGCGATGAAAGCGCTGCTCACTGATCTCCGTTGTAGTTTACGCGTCCCACAAGAATGACAGGGAGTAAATGCGTAAGGGGTGCCTTGAAACGAGGCTTCCGCAGCCCTGAGGACTCATCTCACTCGTGTTTCGACGTGTCCCAGGAGCTGTCATGCGCGTTGGCCCAGCGCTGGGAGCACGTTTCACTCGTATTTGTACGTGTCCCCAGGAGAATTGGCTGGAATCGCCCAGCGGGATGCGCGAGGCGGCTGGCTGAATGCGGGAGCCCGCTCCTAGCATGCAATTGCACTCCTGCATCATTCTCCATCTTATCATCTTGTCTCGAAGTTCAACACGGCGAGGGCCCGCAGAGGCCTCTCGATGGCTGCTTGGGGCTCTCTTGGGCCACCAGGTGGTTCAGCGCCGCATCGAGAACTCCGCGTCCCTGACCTCCCAGACGTGCGACGTCTTGACTTTTTCAATGCGGTGCCCCCGGAAGTTCGGCCCCTTCCCGAAGGTCAGTTTTTCGGCCCGAGTCGATCTTGACGTTCGGGGGCCCGGCGAGAGTCCGCCGAAGAGTGCCGCATATGTCCCGTCGTGCTTGTCCGCGACGCCAGCATGTCTGGGCTCCGAACCGTTTATGTCGGCCACGCGCAGAGGGGGCAGGGGGGAGGGGGGAAGGCTTCTTAGAAGCACCCCTGCCTCTTAGAAGGCGCGGGCCTTCTCTGTAGATGTAGGGCTGGCGCCTTCTAAGAAGCAGTGTCCTTCTAAGGAGCCTTTCCCCCCCTCCCCCTACCCCCTCGTGCGCGCCGACAAACCCGGAGACTCGACGTTGCCCGAGAATCACAACATCACCAAAAATCACGACCAGTGCCCCAGACCCAATCTTTCTGCGCCAGTTTTCGAGCCGGATCGATCTGCGAGGGTCCCGGGCCCCGGAATTGGGTGAAAACGCCCAGTGCTGAAAGGGTGCAGCGCCCAGACCTGATGTCTGCGCCGCCAAGTGGAGGAAGGATCGAGGTTTGGAGGAGGAGGAGGAGGAGGAGGAGAAGGAGGAGGAGGGCGAGGAGGAAGAGGAGGAGGATGGCGAGGAGGAGGAGGAGGAGGGATCGAGGCTTGAGGACTGTGTCTGCGCCGAGCCTTCTCTTCCACGGCCTCGGGGCGGCCGGCTCCCGCAAGCTGCTGGTGCTGCTGAAGCGGGCCCTGCGGCGCCTGCCCGGGCTGCAGCCGCGGGCGGGCGGCCGGGGGCGCCTGCCGCTGCCCGCGCAGTACCCGCACTGGGGCGAGCTGGGCGGCCGCGACCCGCGGCAGGCGGAGCGCGCGCTGTCGGAGTGGCGGTGGCCCATGAAAAAATAGCAACACAGGCATCATCTCTCCCTCCCGTTTCGTCGCCTCGTCTCGCCCCCCTCCACCCCGTTCGTCCCCTGCGCCGCCTCGCCCCCGGCACCGCAGCCCTCTCCGTCGCCTCGCCTGGCCCCCTGGCTCGCCCCCCTTGGGTAATTACCCCTCTCGTCGCCGCTCCACGCCCCTCTCGTCGCCGCGCCTTGCTCCATTTCACCCCTTCCGTCGCCTCGCCTCGCGCCCTGGCGCATCGTCCCCTGCATCCCATTCGTCGCCTCGCCGCGCCGCCCCCCACCCTACCCAGACCGCCTCGCGTCGTGAACAAAGAAGCACGAGGGGAGGGTCTTCGCTAAGTTCGGCTTCGAGGGTCCCTTCTGCCATGCCGCGGGACTGTCAAACAACGACTCGGGATGAAAGACCTGTCCTGGGGAAGGGGTCCAGACCTCTGGGGGCCAACGCTGTGAAACAATCACGACGTTTGGGGTCCGGCCCCCCGCCCTCTCCCCTCCTCGCCTGACGCTCCACGAGGGTAGAGAAATGGCACCACGACCTCGACCTAGATGCCAGTCGAGGTTGTCAGCGGTCCAGATAATTCAGAGTGCCAGCCTGGAAGGCTCTTCCTTGGCATTCTGGACGCTCAGGGTCCACCAGAGGGGAGGACCTACCCCGATGCCCCTGCCCGTGCCTCGTCGCTGGAGCGCGCGCTGTCGGAGCGGCGCTGGGCCATCATTTCCCCTTCATCCAAGAGGGGAAAAACATAGACACAATTAATCGTCGACTCCCAGGACAATTTGGGAAATATGAGAAGTGGGGGGAAGACGAAATGGCAGAACAGATGGAACATACACAGCCAAGGAAAAGTTGATGGCAACATCTACAAGAAGATCATCGTGAATGGTCTGCAAACGGCAACGCCCAAAGAGGATCAGTCATTTTGATTCGCGTTTCAATGTTGGCAGCGTGCGCAGGCGCGCACCGTGGGCCAGGTCATTGATATGCCACGTTCTGGTTTGCGCGCCCAGTGGCAACATTGAGAGGCGGACGCCATTTCATGCCCGGGTGCTCTTCGAAGTTGCTCCTTCACAAGGCCGCTGGCGTGGGCGGTTCCACTTTATGTCTTGCGGTTTCGTTCCCACCAGTCGGATGGCTAACATGCAGCGCGCAGTGCAGACGAGACGACAGGCGGATGTCTTTTGATGCGACGGGCCCCACCTGTTCTGCTTCAATCGTTCGGCTTCCATCCCTGTGCCACTTTTGTTATTTACTTTTCTCATGTAGATGTATGGGGAATCTGGATGTGTGCGTATTTCTGTGTGTGTGTCATCGGGCCACTTTATTCATGCCCTTCGTCTCTTCGCCCCCCCAGATATCCGATGTATGTCCGCGGACGACACGCATGCACCGTCACGCGTCGTTGGCTTGTCGCGAGGCGTTGTCGGCCTTCGACATCCCAGGAAGGGTGCGGCACATAACTTGCGAAGGGTATTTGATACATCCATTTTTTGATAATGGAAACCATCCCTCGGTCGTTTAGGCGGCTTCCTACGTCAATGATCGAGTTGATTCACATTTTTTCCGTCCTCCGTAGGGGGCGGACGGACACCCAATCTATTTTCAACGCCTTCCAAGTCCATGTGTCTACCTAGTTCTTCCGATCGATGGGTAATTGTGTATTCGTTCGCGGGGTCGGCCAGCCCGTAACTGTGCTATCCCAGGCATTTGCCGGCGCGTTCCGGGCTTTTTGGGGGCCGTATGGGGGCCTCGTGGGGTTTCCTTTTGGGGTCTTTGGGGCCCCGTGAGGCCGCCAAAAAGGGCCTCCTGAGGGCTCTCTAGCAGGCCTCGTCGGTTTTCTTCGGCGCTTTTTTGGGCGGAAGGTTCGACTTGGTGGTTCGCGTTCCCCCCCTCAGGCCCCTCTTGGGGCCGTCTTGGGGCTCTCTTGGGCGATTTTGGGTGCCACTGGGTCCGTTTTGGGGCCCTCTTGGACCGTCGTGGGGCCCTCGTGGGGGCTTCTCGTTCCGTTTTGGTGCGGTGTCGGGGGCCTCTTTGGGGCCATTTGGGAGTGTCGGAAACTTGAAAACGCGAGAACGCGACAAACATTGAAAATACACCAGATACATGATGTTTGTTTCTTGTGGCCCTCTTGAGGGCGTGCTCGGGGGCCTCTGAAGCCCTCTGGGGGTTCTCGTGGCGGCGTTTGAGGATGTGTCGAGGTCACGGGGAGCGATCCTAGGCCGCTCCGTGAGGTCCGGGTGGTCCACGTGGCGGCCCAAGTGGGGGGGTCCGCGAGGTCTGGGAGGCCCAAGTGGCGGCCCGAGTGGGAGACCAGAGGGAGCCTCCAGGACCTCTAGGGCTTCCTGGGGCCCACCAGATTCTATTGGGGGTTTGCCGCCCATCAGTGCCAGTTTCCTGGTGTGAGGTAATTCAGATAAGTATGTCTACATGCATATATATACATATATATATATATATATATATATATATTATATATATATATATATATATATATATACTAGAACCACGCGCGCGTTTCGCGCGCGCTTAGGTTCTAGCTAGGATCACTCTCGCTGGGAGTTTGACGTAGCTTCTCGGGAGCCTCGGAACCTGTCGGGGGCCTCCTGGAAGCAGGTTCGAAGCATTTTGGGGGCCGATTTGGCGCTTTTCGGGGCCTCCTTTGGGCCTCTTGGGGGTCTCCTGGGGCCTCTTGAGGGGCCTCCTTGGGGCCTCCTGGCGGCCTCTTGGGGCGGAAGGCTCGAGCTTGCGGTTCGTGGTCCCCCTCTGGGCCCCCTCTTGGGTCCGTCTTGGGGCCCTCTTGGGCCATCTTGGGCGCCTCTTGGGCCGTCTTGGGGCCCTCTTGGGCTGTCCTTGGGCCCTCTTGGAAGCTTCTTGGGCCGTCTTGGGGCGGTCTTGGGCGCCTCGTGGGCCGTCCTGTAACGTCGGAAAGCCCAAAAAGCAACTTTGTGAAAAAACGTTTTACGGAAGGGAATGGGCCAATGTTTGCGTCTAGGGGCCCTCTTGGGACGCATGTTGGAGGCTTCTTGGGGCGTCTTGGGGGCGTCCTTGGACGTCTGGAGGCCATCTTCAGCATCTTGGAGCCCTCTTGGAGGCCTCTTGGAAGTTTCTTGGGCCGTCTTGGGCGCTTCTTGGGCCGTCTTGTCTGACTGGGGAGGCCTCCGGCAAGCCCCGACGAGCCTCCGGGCCCCCCGGGGCTCACATTTGTGGTCGGGGTCCCGGCCCCGGGCCCCCGGACCCGGTGCGCCGTTATATGTATATATATATATATACACACATATATATATATATATATATATATATATGTGTGTATATGTGTATACATGTAGATGTGTGTGTGTGTGTAAAAATGTTGTGTCTGTACATATATATATATATGTGTGTAATTCGATTTACGTACATAGCTATGTGATCTGGATGGTTTTCCTCGATGTCCGCCTCCGTGGCCCGATTGCGGGTCCCAGGGGCATCAGAAACGGGTAGGGTGGAAAAATGTTTCCGGGGAAGACAGGGTCGGGACTCTTCCTGGGGCTGCGCATGGAGGAGATCATATCGGCGGATGCTTGGGAGCGCGAGGGTGATAGGATGCCTGGAAGAGGTCAAATCGCCAGATGCGCGGGAGCGGATGCCTGGCACCCAGGACTTCACGCAATGCGCACTTACAGCGTCTTTGAAGTCGAGTGGCCACTAAGCGCAAGCGCGCGTAACGCGCGAAAGTCTTTCGTCGGAGGTGAGGGGGTGAGATCGAAGTGGAACGGAGAGCCCCCCTACCGGGAAATCGATTTCGGTTTCGTGTTCGTGCGTGCCGTGCGTGCGGGCGAGGCGAAGCAGCGTGGGCGGGCGAGAGAAAGTCTTTTGTGGCTGAGGCGCGGCCGGACCAAATGTCTCCCTTCCAGGCGGCCGGAGGCCCGCGGTGTCCCGCCGGTGTCCCGCTGGTGTCCCGTGTGGCTGAGGCGCGGCCGGACCAAATGTCTCCCTTCCGGGCGGCCGGGGCCCCGCGGTGTCTCGCCGGTGTCCCGCTGGACGATGTTGATGTTTTGTTTTGATGATCGATAGTGAGATCGGTAGTGATATCGATTGTGAGATCGAACGTGAGATCGAATGTCAGATCGCTTGTGAGATCGATTGTGAGATCGATTGTGATACCGAATGTGAGATCGATAATGAGATCGATAGTGAGATCGATTGTGAGTCCGAATGGGATATCGATTGTGAGATCGATTGTGATATCGATAATCGATAGTGAGACCGAATGTGAGATCGATTGTGGATTCTATTGTGAGATCCAGTGTCAGATCGATTGTGAGATCGATCGATTGAGTTAGTAGTGAGGTCACTATCGGTAATGAGATCGGTAGTGATTTCGATAATGAGATCGATGATGAGACCGAATGTGAGATCGATTGTGAGTTCGGTTGTGATATCGATAGTGAGATCGATAGTGAGATCGACAATGAGATCGAAAGTGAGTTCGATAGAGAGATCGATAGTGAGGCCGAATGCGAGATCGATTGTGAGATCGATTGTGATATCGATAGTGAGATCGATAGTGAGACCGAATGTGAGATCGATAATGAGATCGATAGTGAGTTTCATAGTGAGATCGATAGTCAGATCGAACGCGAGATCGATTGTGATATCGATTGTGAGATCAATAGCGAGACCGAATGTTAGATCGATTGTGGGATCGATTGTGAGATTGATTGTGAGATCGATAGTCAGATCGATTGTGAGATCTATCGATTGAGATCGATTGTGAGATCGGTAGTGAGTTCGATAGTGAGATCAATCGAGTGCGACGTTGGTCCCTCCCCCCCCTCACCTCCTTATCACCCGAAGGGTGGTATATGCGGTATGTGTTTGTATATATCTATATATATATCCATGCATACATACACATACATATATAGATCTGCGCGGGATGAAAGGGAGCCCCAACATGAATGGGAAACGTATGTTTCCCTTGCGGCGGTCACTTCTGATGATCGGAGGGAATGAGGATCCCAGATGATGATGCTGGTGATGATGATGATGATCATGATGATGGTGATGATGATGATGACGATGACGATGACGATGATGATGGTGATGAGGGGAAGGACGAGAAGGGGAGGGCCGAATGTCACTGCCAGCCGAGAGCTTGGGGGTGGGTTGGAGCTGGCAGCATTGAAGACTCTCTGAGGTTATCGGTACCGTTTTGTCTCCCCATTGCGGTTAGTCTGTGGAGATTCGAGGTCACCGCACGTTTTTGGGATTCAGGACGCTCACCGAGGATGTCTCGGGTGACTGTTGCCGCCGAGGTCGTAAAACCAGGCGGTTGCCGCACCGTGCGGTGAGGTTCTTGGAGATTCCGATGTCGCTACGCGGTCTGTCATGTCACCGCACCGTCTCAGGACTCCAATCCTCGCGGGCCCC